TTTTTTTTTTTTTTTTGGTCCTTTTAGACAGTGTTTCCCTATGCAGTTCAGATTGGTCTTCTCAAACTTGTAGTGATCCTCCTGCGTCAGCCTCCCAAATTCTGGGATCACAGACATGCACTACCAGTCTTTGACTCAGAGACTCAGTCTCTCTCTCTCTCTCTCTCTCTCTCTCTCTCTCTCTCTCTCTCTCTTTCTCTCTTTTTCTTTCTGTACCTGGGATCAAACTTGGGACCTTATGCTTATTAGGCAGGCACTTAAGCCACTGAGCTATCTCCCTGGCCCTCTGCCTCATATATTTTTTGCTTAATATCACATCAGGATCACCTTTCCATGCCTATACATGTTCATTAGTATATTTAACTAGAGCTCCTCTGGGCTCTCTAACCTCTATTCCATGCTCCTGAGTATTTTTAGATTAATTCAGACCTAAATTTGCATTGTGCCTTTATCTTCATAATTTGTGGCTGCATAGTGGTTAAGCTATTATCTTTTTAATGCCTATCCACCTTATCAGACCACAAACTCCATGTGTGCAAGACCTGTGCCTATTTTGTTCATACCTGGTATTCCCAGCACCTAACACAATATGTCCAACAAATATCTCTTAAATGCTGGCATGCATGAGTGAAGACATGAATGTATACATAAACTTAACTAAGATAGGAAGCACTAGGAAAAGAGCAGCTTTGGGAAGAAGGATCTTGAGTTTAACATGGACATGTTGAGTTTGGGAAGACTGTAAGATTTCCTAGTGAAGGATCAGGACTCCATAGCCTTCTAGTATGGACTAAATCCTCTTTCTGGCTCTTTTGCCACATTTTTCCATTTGTGCATCTGTTTCTCCCACTAACTTCCAGCTGAAGGTAGGGACACTAATTCATCCTGTTATCCCGATGGCTAACTTGGACCATAGTTGGGCTCAAGGAAAGAATGGGAATAAGTGTCACTGTTTACAAATCCTAAAGAGGGAAGCAGATCATGCTTCCTTCTATGTCTTCCTCCAGCTCTGTCAGAGCTCTGTGTCTCATGCCCAGAACAAAGTAAAGACTTAGCAAATATTTGTGGACTTGAACAGCTCATCCTGTGACCACAGCCTAAGTACCCTCTGTAGCTCAGGCTATTGAATGACCTGAGTCTCCTTTTATAATGCTAAGAAAATAACACAGATCATTATTTTGCAGTATGGAAGGCAGAGTGTTTTTCTGGTTTGAGAGACACCGAAGGAAGTCTTATTTCCAGTATTAGTAGAATACAAACATTTTACCAAACAGAAAACCTTTCTTAAGCTATTGTAATAGTGCTACTTCTTATACTTATATCAATCTATTTGTCATAAGTAGCAAACAATGAAAATAACTCCAATATTGATTCCTACAAGAATGTTTGAATTTCTATGAAATAACACCTACTGGATCCAGAGAGTTAAAGTAGTCTAGATTTAGTAGAACTGTCATCACTTGGCAAGTGGTGAAGAATTATCCAATGAAAAAGAGAAGCAAAAGAAAACCTGAGGGTAATTAATGTGTTTGGAAAATATATATTGGAAGAGGTTGTTTATGTATAAAGGTATGATTATGCTATGTTTGGAGTGTTTTGAATACTATGTTTACAACAAAATAGAAGGTTGTACATGAGTAGAATTAGGTGACCATAACTTAGGGTGCAAGAGCGCCCCTATAGTTATGTGATTAAGAGGCAGGGGTGTTGGTTTGCTCAGCGCCATAGCAAGCTGTGCTTGTGACGCTTGGCCCACACGTTGGTTTCTCTTGCTGCTCTGCCAGGAGAGCAGGAACTGTGACTTCTTTGTGATCTGTGTTCTATGTCTGCAAAGAATAGGTGCTCAAACCTACTTGTTATTATTATTTTTTTGGCAAAACTGGGGATTGAACTCAGGCCCTTGCGCTTGCCAGGCAAGTTCTTATTCTACTGAGCCATCTCCCCGGCCCCTACTTGCTATTTTTTTTTACATTTAGATATTTAATCCATTTTGAGGTTTTTTGGGTGCATAGTATGTCTAGTTTCATTCTTTTTTTAAAAAAAATTTGTTGTAAAGAGCAAAAACTCCACAGCCAAATAACAAGAACAAAGACATATATGAGCTATATGCTAATATGCGTAATCTGAGCAACTGTGTAGAGGACAGCAATGTGCAATATAGCAACCACAGTAGAACACCTTTTCTCTTGTTCTTCTAAATGTATATTGTCTCTAATGTTTTAGCTGTTATTATTATGCTCTCTTTAAAATAAATTAAAAAAATAAAAAGGACAAAGAAAATAATTAAGGTTTATTAAAGGATAAATTTTTGAAGTTGTAATAGAGAAGCCTTAAAGATATCCCCTAAATTCTTAACTAGATTGCTCTAGAGATTTCACCTCTATGTAGCTTGAATTATGTGCACCTATAGAATACATGTATATGACATACATATATACACATACATATACAAGTGTAAAATACATACACTTTTGTCCCTTTTGTGGTCTTGCAGAATCTTACCTTGAGAAATGTCAGGCAATCCTTGTTGTCACTCTTGTCCTTGTCTCGTAGATCAAAGTTGTAGAGAGCCCTGCAGAGCGGGGGCGGCTGGGGCAGCTGCTTGATGACTTCCACAGAGCTGGCTGGGAAGATTCCACAGTCTCCATTGATCTCTCCTTGGTACCAGTTCTCATCCAGCTGTCTCCGGAGCAGGATGACATCTCCCTTATTAAACCTCAGGTCGCCAGGGTTCTGACCTCTGTAGTTGCATAAGGCCTTTGCTCGAGGTACCTGCAGGGGTACAGACCAATAAAATACATACTTAGCTTAGAGGCTGGAGGGACAGAAAGTATATAATTTTAATAACTAATTGCAAAGCACAACCTATGGGCTCATTGTACTTGTGTATCATATTGTTTATCTTTGAGACAAACACTCATTATCCCTATCTATCAGCTGGGGTGACTGAGACCCGGAGTGGTTTCGTAATCTGCAACATGTTGCAGAGCTGGCAAATGGCAGACACAGGATGGTGACTCGGGCTTTGTTATTCGAAAGCCAGGCACAAAGCTCTGGGCTTGCCCCACAACTGAGTGAGCTTGAGGGATTCATCTGGAGTCAGTGACTCTGAGCTGCACTGATTTTGAATTCTCATCTTACCTTTTTCCATTTGGGTGATTATAGTTAATCTTTTTAAAACGGTGTTCATTTACAAAATGAAATATTGATAGAATGCCTGTCTCATTAGGCTTGTTTTGAGCAATAGAAATATGTATAATACATCTAACATCTTGCCTACCGCATTATGTGTGCTCAATAAATGGCATTCCTTATTTTCCTTTAGTAAGTTTATTGGTACAATTTGGATACAAATAATGATTACAATCATCATAGGCAGTTTGTACTGTACGTGACATACTTTGACCCTTCTTTTTTCTTTTTTTCATTTCTCTTCCCTCTCTTCAACCTCACTTCCCCTCATTTATAAAATTGTTTCCTTTTTATCCCTCTTTTCTCATTTTTTTCTTCTCCTTTTCTTCCTCCCCTTTCCCTAGTTCTCCTTCTCTTTTGAACATTTTCTTCCCATCTCCCAGTACCAATTATAGATTTTGGTCCTTATTTACATTTTCAGTTTCTCATTCTGGAGAGACAATGTGGTACATAAATGTGTGTGTCCAATTTACTTCACTTCTGAGTATGGTCTCAAGGTGCACCCATTTTCCTAGAAATGTCTCAAGCTTATCCTTCTTTATGGATGAGGAGCACTCCACTGTATAAAAAATCACATTGTTTCTTATCCGTTCATTGATTGATGGGCATTAGGGTTGTTCACAAGATTTAGCTATTGCAAACTGTGCTGCTATAAACATGGGTGAGCATATATTGATGTAGTATGATGCTTTTACTTCATCTGGGAAGATACCAAATAGGGGAATAATTAAGTCAAATGGGACCTCTGGTTCTAGTCTTCTAAGGAAGCTCCACACTGATTTTCACAGTGGTTGCATGAATCTACACTCCCACTAACACTAGAAAAGGGTTCCTTTTTATCCACCACCCCACCAGCATTTGTTATTGGTTGCTTTCTTGATCATAGCCATTATTTCTGGGGTGAAATGAATCTCAGCCTTGTTTTAATTTATATCTCTCAAATGACCAGTGATGCTGAACTTTTTTTTCATGTATTTATTTTCTTTTTTTATTTCTTCTTCTGAGAAATGCATATTCATTTCAGGTGCCCACTTTAGGAGTGGGTCTTTAAATTTAGAGGATCTGATTTTTTTTTCAGTTCTTTATATTTTCTAGAGATTGATGTTTTGAGGAACAACTGACTAAAATTTTTTCCCACTCCATGGTTGTATTTTTCCTTTGTTGGCAATTTCTGCTGCGCAAAAGCTTCTTAGTAAGACTAAATGGCATTCTTATCATCATTTTTAATGGAAAGCTAATGATATCAGTTCTGTCTCAGTATTGTTAGAAAGGAAATTGAGAAAAGAACCTCTTGCAAACAGGAAGTGCTGCTGTACATGAGAAAGATGAAAAGTAGCTGGTTTTCAACATGTGTTAGAAATTAAAGTTCCAGGAGTATATGGATCATTTGGAAGTTCAAACAAGACAAAGAAATAATTAGCAGGAAATCAATCATCAGCTTAAAAAAATCAGTCCATGAATCATCATTTGTCAAGCCAGCAGTCTGTCTATATAGTTAATTTACTCAAATGTGTTGTTTTTCTAAGTGAAACTGGTTTGTCCATGCATAAATGGCCTTACCTTGGTCTTGTTTGGAGTCAGCTTGGCTACAAGTCTAGCAAGTTAGGTTTATTTGAAATTGTATTTAGTGATTTGCTCAAATAATAGTCTCCTCTTATTGTGTAGGCCTGCTATTCACAGTGGGGTTTTGAGGAGCATTAATTCAGGCCTTTTGGGGGGTCTTTTTTGAGACAGGGTTTCACTATGTAGTCCAGTCTTGACTTGAACTCACTTTGTAGCCCAACCTGGCCTTGAACTTATAGCAGTTTTCCTGCCTCAACTTCCCAAGTGCTGTCCTAAGAGGTTTAACACATAGACTGATGGATACTAATGAATAACATATAGTACACTTATATAATGAAAGTCTGCAGTTATTATGATTAACTAAGATTAATGTATAATTAATATTAGCTGTTATTCATAATATAATGTTAAATGTAATAGATGTTATAAACCATCATGTAGACTAGGGGATATGGAGAATGAAAAAATATGTATTAGGAAAATGCTAGATGTCTACACCTGAACACATTGAATGATTATTTCTAAGTAGCAAGATTTTTGGATATTAAAAAAATTTCTCAGTGTTTAACTTTGTTTCTAATTTTCTTTCAATGAAGCAATTGTATTGTGTATGAAAATTAGCTAACTGGTAAAAAGAAAATGAATGAGGCCAGCAAGATAGCTCAGCAGACTAAGTGCCTGCTTAAGCAAATGCAGGGTCCAGGGTTTGATCCTTGGCATCACATGCCATGCACAGGCGCTGCCCCTGGGTGCAGTGAGCTGGCTACTGAGACTGGGTGTGGTGGCGCATGCTTGTAATCCCAGCACTGGGGAGGCAGAAAACAGGAGGATCACTAAGAGTCTGAGCTGTGTAGTGAGACCCTCTATCAAATATACAAAAATTAAAAAATTTAAAAAAATGAATGAAGTTGGGAGGTGTGAAAGGTATGGGAAGAATTTAGGAAGAGTATAAACCTGATTGAGCAAGATAAGAAAACTTTGAAACTATTTTTTGAGAAAGATGTTCTTTAGCTGAGGAATAAGCAGGTAGAAGTGGGATAAGAGTGGAGGATTTCTTTAGATACATGAGGAAATAGTAGAGATCCTTTCATATGCCTTCTCCCCAGTTTTCCATTGTGTTTCAGAGTGCATTTTTCTGGGTATATGACTGCCTGGAATACTGGTCACATAGTCCAGTTTCCCTGGCAGCTAAGTTCTGGCTAAGGGAGTATAAACAACCTTTAGGAAAGGTCCTAAGAGACTGATATTTCTTCCTCTGTCCTGTTATGTGGAATGGAGTTAGGGTGCCTAGAGCTCTGGTAGGGTGCTATCTAGAATACAGAGGACCTCAGCCACTCCTACAAGGAAAGAGAAGGCCCAGCTTCCGTAGCTGTCATACTATCCTGGACCACTTTACCTTCTGACCTTTGTCTGAAAGCCCTATAATCTTCCATCTTGCTTAATGATTAGTCTTCTAGACTTATAAAATGGAAACAAAAGGAGAATGAAAAGGTACAGGAAGAAGTATCCAAGCCACCTTTGCTTTGCTTAATGATAGTATGAGTGCCTAATATCTGTTGTTTCTTCTCATGTGCTGGATATTGTGCTAAGAAACAGTAAATGGATTTTGTACAACACACTTTGTTTAATTATCACAATGGCATTTGAAATGTGTATTGTATCTAATTTCAAAGATTAGAAAACTGGGGGCCAGGAATGGCAAAAATTCTTTACATTTACAAAAGTAGAAGGTAGTGGTTTTAAGACTTGAATTCAGGACTATCCTTAGGACCAACCTCTTGACCACTGAGCTTATAACTTGCATGTATCAGAATCCCAGTGATGTCAAAAATGCAGATCCAAGATTCCACTCTTAGGCAGTGCAATCAGAATCTCTTGGAATGGGATTTAAGTGGCTTTGGGATTCTTATACTCCCCCGCCATCCAAGTGTGATGCTCTGGGTTTGAGCTATACCTTGTTTGAACTCAAATTGGGTAATAAGATTTTTGATGTAAGCATTGTAATTGCTAACCTGCTTTCTTCTCTTCATTTCTGGAAGATATTTCCAGTACAAGTGGGTTATGTATTTTAATGAACATTGAAAGTATATATTGGGTCAAAACTGTGTATGGTGCTTAAAAGACATCTGAACTTTAAAATCTTGAGATGGTTCTAATTGCCTGAGTGCCTTTATCTTCACCCCCCTATTTCCTCTCCACATTGCTAAGTACTGTGTTGCTAAAGTGACTTATAAATCCTTTTTAACACAGAGACCCTTTTTATCTTCTTTCTCTTCATTTTGGTCAATCCCTGGCCTGCCGCCCTCATTTTTAAATTCATATTTACAGAAAATATTGACTTCCCCAATGTAAACAAGAGTAGGGTGTGGCAGAAGGGGATGGAGTAAAGGACAGGGAGCAAGAAGGAGAGTGTGAGAGAGGAGCCCAACTGGGAAGGATTTAAGAAGGACGCTAATGTTTATTGGGGTTCTGCCGGGTGACAGACATTTTTCTTAACATTTGTACTACTGTGCTTTTTATCTATTGTTTATGTGATTTTAAAATTCCACAGAGTAGGTGGTATTATCTTATTGGCTAGGAAACAGAAGTTCTGAGGTGATAAATGTCATCAGACAAAGTTATACAATCAGTGTGCGGGAGACCCAGGACGGGCTTAGGCTCATCTGACCTCAGAGCCCCAAAGCCTGTAATCATACTCATTGTCTGCCATCCAGTTGAAGTCACCTAGAATATGTTCCATCATAAAACTCATTCAGGCTGTCTTGTAATCAAAATCTGAATGGAGTGTGAATGCAATTTGCTTGCTGCTGGCTGCATTAACATGAATTATTGAACTCCAGAGCCCTCACATAAAAGTTAAGCACCTGAAGAGACTCAGCTGGTTGATTCTATTCAGTCTTCAACTGTTCTTTCCAGGGAAAATGATTCCAGGTTCCACATCACCTATTATCCACGGCATTGATGGCGGCAGCTTTTATCACTCATAATTGTTTTCCGTCTGTACAGGTGCAGGGGTG